TTCACAAATCGCTCAAGAACACAAGGGTCTCTCACTGAGGGTTGGGTGAGCACAAATAACGGCCATAAGGCCCCTTAAATAGGCCTCAAACCCGGAAATTTAGGGTTTCATTACACAGCGCAGACTCGCCGAGTCCAGGCGCGCTCCATTGCCTTAAATCCGCGTCCCTACTCGACGAGTCTGAGCTCCAACTCGCCGAGTCCCCCTCACAATACCACAAAATTAAATTTACAAGATACCTGGTAAAAATCCGGATGTTACAGATAGAGGGTTGGAATCATATGAATTAAGAACAGATGATGAATGCGCGTCTTGTTTATTGGGCAAGGTGACAAAATCACCTTTCACTGGAATATGTGAAAAAGGTGAAGGATTGTTTGACCTTATCCATACAGATGTGTTCGGGCCATCAGGGATGCTAATCAATACTACGTGACATTTATGAATAATTATAATAGATATGGGTATATCTACTTAATCAAACATAAATCAAAAATATTGAAAGGTTTAACGATTTTAATCATGAGGTCGAGAATGAATTCGGTAGGAAGATAAAGATACTCCGGTCTAATAGAGGTGGAGAATATCTTAGTATCTAGTTCCACGACTATCTAAAAGAATGTGAAATTGTTTCATAATTGACTCCTCCCAGAATACCAACTCTTAATGGTGTGGCTAAGAGGCGTAATCGAACCTTAATTGATATGGTTCATTCAACAATGAGCCAAGCCTCTCCTCCCATTACTTTCTAGAATTATTCCTTAGAGATAGTTGCCCATATCCTAAATCTTTGTTACCACAAAGAAGGTTGCCAAAACACCTCATGAGATGTGGACATAGAAAGTTCCCCTGCTTACACATATCAAGGTATTAGCTTATGAGGCTCTCGTCATACGAGAAACTAATGAAAAACTTGAAACCAGAGCCAAGTGGTGTATTTTCATTAGTTAACCACAAAATTCATTTGGATAGTTATCCTACAGACCTAGTGAGAACGTGATCCTTGTAGCTAAAGGGGAGTCATTCATGAGAAAGTGCACACATTGAAAGAGGATAGTAGGAGTTCCATTCATCTGGAAGAAATTTCGTAGTCACCCAATGAAAGAACCTTAAATGACACTAGCACCCAACCTGAGGATTAGATTCCAGTTGAACCCATTGATAATTCATTACCTCTTCATCGATCCACTAGAGTTAGCATGACATATGAGTCTTGTAGTTTCCATATAACGAAAAATGTGGACACATTTATCAGTGATAACATACTGGTAAATTTGGATGAACTAACTAACTATAAGGAAGTGATGGTGGGTCCTTAGGCTACAAAATGGAAAAAGGCTATGGTAAGCGAGATCCAATCCATGTATGATAACCAAGTATGGAATTTCGTTGATCGTTTACCTGGTCAAAATAGAGTAGGTTGCAAGTAGATCTTCAAGAAGAAGACCGACATGGATGGAAAAGGTGCACACGTTCAAAGCTCACTAGTTGCAAATGGCTTTACACAAACCCTAAAGGTTGACTCTGACGAGACCTTTCACTAGTGGCTAAGATCAAATCAATCAGGATAATGCTTTCCATTGCTACCTTTCATGATTATGAGGTATGGCAAATAAATATTAAAACCTATATCCTAAGAGGGAAACTTACTGAGGAAGTCTATATGAGTTAGCCAAAAGATTTTAGACATTCCAAATTTCCTGATAAGGTGTGTAAGCTTAAGAAATTCATTTATCGATTGAAGCGAGCATCTCACATCTGGAATCTTTCCTTTCACAAGAAAGTCAAAGAGTTTGGTTTCTCTAGGAGTGAGGATGAGTCATATGTGTATGTGAAAGCTAGTGGGAGTACAGTAACTTTCCTACTGTTGTATATTAATGACGTACTCCTTATAGGAAACAACATTCCAACTTTGCAAGAAGTAAAATCTTCGGATAAGAATTTTCAGGGATAGAAAGAAATGTCTTATTGTCTTAGATATAGTGCGTAGTTAAATAAAATATTGAAACGTTTCAGTATGAACATTCCGTCTGTCACAAGTCTGTCGCAAAACTTTTTTTTTTTTTTTTTTTTTTGTAATATATGATCATTCCATCGGCATGTCCAACAGATTTTTTGGGTCATGTTTTGCCAGAAAATTGCATATAGTGACATTTTTTTTGTAAACTTGCTATGTACATGTTTGATTTACCTAATTCACTATGTCTTTAAATACATAAAAACAAATTTCAATTTACCTATCTCCCCATGTTATAGTGTTTTTATTCATTCTATCCTTTTTTTTAATATTAGGTTGTCTCATATACCTAAGACGAACCGGCTCGTGGTCTATATATGTGGCTTTGAGCGTTTTCCATGCACACTATCCCGACCATTCGTGGTCAGGTGTTTTCGTGGTGGTTCGTGATGGTCTGTGATGTAGACAACGGGAGACAACACTCCTTCTCTCAGTTCTTCTTCTTCTTCTTCTTCTTCTTCTTCTTCTTTCTCTCTCTCTCTCTCTCTCTCTCTCTCTATATATATATATATATATATATATATATACATATATATATATATATATATATATATATACACATCTTCGTTCTTCTATTTGTGGTCGTGGAGGGTATTCCATGGCTTTGTGGTGGGTGGTGGTGACCGATATGGAAACTCTCCACGCTCGTTGTCGTGAAGAGAGTACAACAAATGGTCTTAATTATAACCCTTAAAAACATGTTCTTTTTGTAATATATAGATATTATGTGTGAGACTCATGTATTACACGAGTTTACTTAAAAGAAAAAAACTAACTATAAAATTCTAAACATTTGAAAAGTTTGAATTTATAAGAAAAATGAGAAAATATTGAATTATAAAAATTAAAGTGTTTTTTATTCATTTAAATTTAAGTAAAGAAACTTAATGCGTCTTTAATTTAGTAAATTCGAAATTAAAAAGAAAGTTCGTTAATGAAATTGATATGTATTTATTATTCATTTAAATAGTATATGAAATTTGATAAAATAAAAAAAAAACCATAAAATGACATGTGGAATAAAAATTAATTTAAAATAATCACAAATTTACATATGACAAAATAAATGAGAATATAACATATGATAAAAAGATCTTTATTTATTAGTGAGGATTTAATTATTATAATTGTTATATTAAAATATTACATTGAATTTAATAAAATAGAAAAACTAATAAAATGATATGTGAAAAAAATTAATTCAAAATAACCAAAAAATGACACTTGACAATTTAAATGATAGTTTTTGATGTAACAAAAAAACTTTGATTTATTAGAGGAGGTTCCATAGGTATTAGGGATGTCAATGGGGGCAAACGAGGCGGGGAGTGCATCTCCCGCCCCCGCCCCCGAAATTTCCCCGTCTTCCCGCCCCCGCCCCCGCCCCCGTTCCCCAGCCCCCGATTGATTTTGGGCTATTTTTTTGGGTTAAAAGAAATTGTTATTTAGGCTAAAATAAGCTATTTTTTAGGTAACAAATAATTATTTATAGCAAAATTTTATATGTTAAAAATAAAAAGGTTATGGCATTTTAAAAAATTATACTAACAGCTTAAAAACATTTTTTTTGATGAATTTTGGAAACTCAAAATCATGTTATAGTTTATTATATTTATATCATTAATATATGTAAATATATATGTAATTTATTAACGGGGTCCCCATGGGGATTTCAGGACGGGATTTTCTACCCCTGCCCCCGCCTCCGAAATTAAAACGGGGGTTAACCTTGCCCCCGCCCCCGTCCCAGCCTCCGATTTTTTTTAAAAAAATCCTCCAAACAGATCGAGGGCCCCACAGAAACGGGGTCCCACGGCACTTTTTGACATCTCTAATAGGTATTTTCATGGGGTTTCTTTTTCCGAAATATATTTCGCCTTAAAAATTGCAATTTTTTGAGTACGGACATTTTTTTACTTTTTGGTAAACGGTTACATGTAGGGGTGAGCAAAAACCGCACCGCAATTAAATTTAACCGCAAAAACCGCATAAACCGCAACCGATAAACCGCAACCGCAATTAAAACCGATGATGAGGTTTTCTGTTTTTCAAAAACCGCAAATTTGCGGTGCGGTGCGGTTATTAGTTTTCAAAAACCGCAAAAAAACCGCACCGCACCGCATATGTTATATACAATTTTTTTAATTATTTATTAATATATTAAATACTAAAAATAACATAAGTTTCATGGATGAAAGATGGATAAAATACTAGAAGACCAAAATATTGGTGTTTTGTTATGTTTAACTTTGAAAAATGGTGAAATTCGACAATTTTAAGATATTTTTTGTAAATTACTATTGATTTGACGTTTTTAAGATATTAGTTGTTTGTAATTTAAGTTAATTGTCTTATACTTTATGGTTTTTTTATTATTACAAGTAATATGTTTGAACTTTTAAAACCGTTTGAGCTCTAAATTGTGGTTAACAACCACACAAAATAACCGCACCAAATCCATGCGGTTAATAACCGCAACACAGAAAAAACAAAACCGCACCGCAAAAATAACCGCCTAACCGCACCGCAAAAATAACCGCACTATGCGGTTTTCAAAATGGATTAACCGCATTTGCGGTTAGTGGTGAGGTTTTAGCTAATAACCGCACCGAACCGCACCGCGCTCACCCCTAGTTACATGTGCCATTTACGTATTTCACTCTTTTGTCTTGAAGACTTTGACAAAGAATAACATATATATGTTATAATAATGGTAATAGCATGAAGATATTTTATCCATAAATGTTTTTACAAGTTAAGTCATAGACCTCGAATAATTATTGATTGGTCTTTAAAATATGTTTCAAAAATAAAAAATTCTCTAAACTATATATTATCTGTATATATAAAACTTGCCTTTATATACTTAAACTATAGAAAATCATGAATGCAAGCCCTCGCCTTGTCTTCTTGATATACAAACATGTAATGTCAAACTAAACTGCAGAAACTAAACAATTACAAATTTAGGAGGTAGGATACCATGAGACTGAACACAAATCTGCGGTCATGGTGGTGGGTAGCAAGTGTTCTTGTGATCCTCGTATTAATGGATCGACCAGTGACATCACAGAAGATCGACAGAAATAACACAATGATCAGATGGTATTGTAGTAGCTACAGAGGCATGAACAGTCAAGTTTTTCTTAAAAACCTCAACACCACCCTTTCTAGCCTCCGAAAGCAGTTATCCAGAGTCAACAATTATCACGCAGTTTCGAAGGCTGTGATTAATGGTGAATCTGTCTTCGGTCTAGCTTTGTGCAGGGAATATCTCCCCACTTCGGCGTGTCTGTCTTGTTTTGACACCGCTGTCTCTTACATGAAAGTATGTGGCCTCGGGAATGGTGCTCATATTTTTTATGATGACTGCGAGATCAGGTTATTGGGTTAATTTCAGCTTTCGGTATCTAAAGATGTTTAAGATTCGTACAAATCTGTGTCTGTTTCCTCCTATATTGATCGATAACTTAACCTTCGGAGTTTGTGTTGATGTAGGTATGAAAACAGAAATTTCTACAATGACGCAATCGTGAAAACTAGCATTGCAATATGTGGCAATACAACATCATCATATCCGAAGGAACTGAAGAAAGTAGCACTTGGGTTGCTTTCAGATCTTCGGATCGCAACCCCAAAAACATCAAATTTCTTTGCTGCTTCCACAAGGCAAATTACTGGTAGTAATGCAACAGTGTATGCTATTGCACAATGTATCCGCAACATAAGCGAAAGTATGTGTGTAGAATGCTTAAAGATCAGATCTCGATTTTTAGATGACTGTCTTCCGAGTACATTAGGAAGGGCAATTGATGATGGATGTTTTATGAGGTATTCGGAAACTCCATTTTTCCAAATCAATCAAACAACTGATATCACACCTCTTTTACGAAATGGTATGACAGCTTTTCTCTTCTAAAAGTAATTTCATTATTATTGGACTTGATGACTTCTAATATTTTGTAGGTTCGATCTTTTGAAGGTTATATTTTCTTATTATCAATATAGTCAGTAGAGTTGAATCATCATGATATGCTCAACGTTTCACAAGTTATTTTTCTTGTTTGTATAGCCATTGCTAATGAAAAGATCATGATGGGGTTGACAGGATATTCAAGAAATCTGAGATTCCTTGTTGGGGGAGTTGTTGGTGGTGTATGCATGTTGTTGTGCATCCTGGGATTCCTCTTTTGGCATCATAGATCGAGAAAATCGAAAAACTCCAGAAAAGGTAAACTCCGTGGACCTCTTGAAATACCCTTAATTAATTAAGTTTCACTCGGCTAATTTGAGAGCTTTGTGATTGTACATCATTCCAGCTATTTCATAATCTAATTAAGTACTGATTATGTTCAATCTGAAATTATTAGATAAGTCAACTGGAGAAACTGACATGCTGCAAAGGACGACTATTTATACTTATAAAGATTTAAAAATGGCGACAAATAACTTTTCCGACCATAATAAAATTGGAGGCGGGTTTGACAGGTTGTATAAGGTAATATTTCTGTTTCACCTGAAACAAATTAACACATACAACACTCACTACGTGTAAAAGAAACTCTGAGTATTAAACTCTTAAATATTAGCAAACTTCTTTATAATTCCTCAATCAATTTCTTTATCAAACCAATGATCGTAACTCCCTTTAATTACAGTCAAAATAATGGAATCTGGCGATACAAAAACTATCTGATGCCATTAATGATTAATCGATTTATAATTTTGTGGAAGTTATATACAATTACTAACTACGGATTCTTATGAAACCCTTAAGATATCATCTCATACGAAGTGAAAACTCGCGGGTTTCCTAATGACACGTGGCTTGTACGTGCAATTTAAACTCATGACCTCTAGGCTTTAACTTATTTTTAGAAACTCCTAGACTCCTAGTCACTTGGACAAGGTCAATATTGCTGCAGTGTTCCATACCATTATTACAAAATAAATGTTAGAAAGAATTGTACAAGTAGTCACCAAATTGTAAAGGGATAATGACTTGAAAGGGTAACGAATTTTCGATTTTTGTCACATTTAGTCACTAAATTTTTTTTCATTATCTATTTGCCATTGAACTATTAAAACTGTTCACATTTTACCCTTATCTATTGCCGGTCATAAGGGTAAAATGTGAACAGTTTCAATAGTTCAATGGCAAATAGATAACGAAAAAAAGTTTAGTGACTAAATATGAACAAAATCAAAAGTTCGTTTCCCTCTAAAAAGTTCAATGAATAAATGTGAACAAACCTCCTCTTGTATTATGTTTTAGCAAATTATTTATTTTTGTTAAATTGTAGCAACATTTGTTGATGAAGAAATCTATGAAATAAAAAAAAAAACAAAAACAAAAACCCTGAAAATATATTTAAAAAAAACCAAAAAACCAAAACCGAAATAAAAAACCAATGGTTTGACATTTTCCAAAATAAAAAATCAAAATTTCCAATCTGATTTTGGTTTTACAAAAAAATGAACCATTCTCACTGATGTGAATTATGACCATTGGTTTGACATACGAAATTTGTAACATCCCATGAATATGTAGTTACAACATCGTCTGAACTCGTAATTCATAGTAAGGGGTTAGAGTATCATCACATGAAGACGTAGTTACAACATCGTCTGAACTCGTAATTCATCACCTACAGGTTATGGGTCTGCTGGTGTTTCCACTTTATTGTCTAGAATAGTCTGTGGTCGCCATCTATACTCTAGTAGATGACTACATCGTCACATTGCTGGTTAAGGTTATGGTATATCCTTTCATCCTACATCAGATATTCATCATCATCTATTTACCTAATTATCACCACCTTTCTATCATCACCTATCTCTCATCATTTTATTTCATCACACACCAACTATTTCATCTACCCATGTTTCATCCGCAACATATTTGTAGATATAAAATAAATATACCGTTTAAATCTTTTAAAACGTGTATAAAATCATTCATCCAGCATACACAACAAGTATTCAAATAATATGCACACATAGCACGTAATTTATATAAAATACTTCATATCTATGTGTAAGATGAAAGTAACTATATATACCATAAATGCTTCCTAACTTTGAACCCCAAGGTTTACTCTACTAAAGCTTCATATTCTCGGCTCTCTGAACCTAGAAGGGTCCAGATCTATCACACCAAAAAGCTCAAGATAGCTCTTCCTCTCACTCTACACACTCAAGCTCGCTAGGGTTCTCACTTATGGGAAAGGTAGTCGCAATTGAAGGCCATAAGTACCTTTAAATATGGCTCGAGCCCAAAGATTTAGGGTTTCTGCCAACAACACGGACTCATCGAGTCGCCTCACCGACTCGTCGAGTCCATTCATTAATCTGAGTCATCAGTTGCGACCTTACTCGACGAGTTGAGGCGTTGACTCGTCGAGTCTCTCTTCTTAACTCAAAAGAAAAATACTTAAATGATGATACCCGAAAATCTGGATGTTACATTTTGTTTTTTTTATTTCATAGATTTCTTCATCAACAAATGTTGCTACAATTAAACAAAAATAAATAATTTTGCTAAAACATAATACAATAGGAAGTTTGTTCACATTTAGTCATTGAACTTTTTAGAGGGAAATGAACTTTCAATTTTGTTCACATTTAGTCACTAAACTTTTTTTCATTATCTATTTGCCACTAAACTATTGAAACTGTTCACAATTTACCCTTATGACCGGTAACAGCCGGTCATAAGGGTAAAATATGAACAGTTTCAATAGTTCAATGGCAAATAAATAACGAAAAAAAGTTTAGTGACTAAATGTGACAAAAGTCGAAAGTTCGTTACCCTTTCAAGTCATTATCCCAATTGTAAACGCTCATTATTAATTAAGAATTATGAGGGGCAAGTTATTATTAATATTATTATTTTTGGCTGCTTGTGCATATGGCATGAACCAGGGTGTTCTTAAGGATGCAAATACTGTTGCAATAAAGAAAATAGATATAACATCTAAAAGTGGAAAAGGTTACATGGATAATGAAATGCAAATCATTAGTAATGTTCATCACCGCTATCTCATACGCCTCCTTGGCTATTGTCGTAAAGGGCGACACCTTTATTTTGTCCTTGAGTACATGGAAAATGGTAGCCTTGATAAATTTCTCTATGGTGAGTTAAAACCATCGTCCTTAATTAGTTATTATGGTCTTCATTCTGCGCTAATTAATATTTTTCTTTTCATTAGGTGACAAAAGGGGAACTTTAAATTGGAGACAAAGATTCGACATAATATATGGTACAGCTAGAGGACTTGCATATCTACATGAACAGTACCATGTTAAAATCATTCACAGAAATATAAAAGCAAGCAACATTTTGTTGGACGACGTATTTCAGCCGAAAATTACAGATTTTGGGCAAGTGAAACTATTGCCACAAGATAAGACACATCTCAGCACCAAAGTTACGGGCACCTTGTAGGTCGATTTAGCTATAATGTTCTTACCAATCCCATTTTGCTCTTGCAATGATTTTGAAAACTAAATAATAGTTACGATTTTTTAACCAGGTCTAATGGCTATAATGCACTAGAATATGAAAATAATGGGCAGTTGTCTGAGAAAGATGATATTTACAGCTTTGGTGTTGTTATGCTTGAAATCATCAGTGGAAAATGGTGCAATGACATGCTTGAAAATGAATCTGCCACAATGAGCCTTGTTGATCTGGTAAGCATCTTGGGTTAAGCTACTAGCATATGCTAAACTTGTTCCCTTCTTTAGTGTATATTGAGATTTCCTTTGATAGTTATGCAACTAATATATTAGTTTTTTCATGCATGTTGAGCTTTCCCAGTTGGTTGGGGCTTTCTGCAAATAACCTAATTGTATTGAGATCAAATCGCACCCTTGGTCTACAATATGAGTCACAAAGGGGGTGAAATCCCCCTATTTAATATTGTAGTGCACCAATTTATTTTAAAACTAGGACTTGGTTTTCTGAGCCATTCTAGATCAGTATTAACCTTTCTTCTTTATCATTTATGATAGGCAAGGAGTCTATATGATAATGAAATGCATTTGAATATCATCGATGTTACACTTGACCAAAATGAATATGCAATAGAAGATGCAAAGAAAATCGTGGAGATAGCCTTGATGTGCACACATTCAACGGCTTCATTGAGACCAACAATGTCTGATGTGGTTATACTTTTAAGTGAACGTTCATTTAGTATAAGGCGTCCCATGATGTCTACTATTGATGATTGCCATATGAATATTCAAGTGAATACCTCTACTTCCACTTCAAAATACGAGACAAATGGTACATCTTCCACATATGGATCTCCAGTCGATTAGTCATTTCGAAAGCCACTATTATTCGTGCTTTGTGTGCATGAACATCTAAATACGCTATTCCATATAGTTTAAACTAGATGTGTGCCTGCGCAAAACAATACAGATAAATAGCTTTTTTGATTAATAGTTTCTTACGATAAAATAATTATTAAATTTTATTATTAGTTACTACGTTTAGAACTTATATTTATTTTGTCTATTTATAGATTAGATATAAATTAATTGTTATCGATATTTAGTTTAAAAACTATAAATTAATTTATATTGATAAATTTAATATTTTAAAATTGTCAATTTGTTCCAAATTAATTTTTTAATAACTTTTCTTAATTCAAGTGTTCAAAATTTTGGCAAGTATTAATGATTTTGTTATGCATAATTGAGTTGTACAAAAACCTTTGTATCTTATACCTCTTAAAATTCAAGATATAACTAATATGCATTATAATATAATATAAGATTTGTATTTTTGATAATTTGGTTATTTGACAATAATGTTAATTTTTATGCACATTTTTCTTTTAATTCTTTTGCACTACCACTTCAACAATTCATTAATTTCAGACAAAATTGTTGAAGATGTATGAACCAATATTGCAAAATCATATACAAACAAAGATTACACTTCCTTAGAAATAATATACAAATGCATAAATTTTATATATTAAATATTGTTGATGATTGATCGATTAACAAATAGTTAACAAATCGAGCACAACTGAAGAAAAAGAAATAAATTTTTATATTTTAGTTTTCCTCACAAACGGATCCAGTTAGACCTATAATGTTCAGCATTAAATTATACAATGGATTGAATATACCTTAATTATAAGGTCCTTCAATGTCGGAGAAGAGTAGTCGAAATAGGTTACCTCTACATTTATTTTCTCGTAGAGCTTGGAACAAAAACTACTTGAATTTCCCAAATATCGGAGTTGATCTCTCATTTGCTTGGTTTGAAATTGTGGAACAAGACGAAGAGAAGGAGACACTAATAAGAGGGTATGGGAGCGAGTAGACTAGAGTTTAGCCTAAGCATATGATTCCCTTTTGAAACTAAGTTACTAAGTGAGCTTTTGCAACACTTTTTCTATTGAGCCAACATATGCAACACAATTTATTAATAAATTAAATGCCTTGTAATCAACTAAAGACTTTTATTAAGTTACAAATAGATAAACATTTTTATCTATTCATTTCTTTTTTGATCAATACAAAATAAACAACTATTATTTACTTATTTGTTTTAGTGTAATACTAGAAAAATGTCCTTTAACTAGATACACATGATTTATGTCAACCAAAAACGTATGACATAAAAATAGTACCATCTTTTGTGAAACCTGAAGTATTTACAATAGTCTGTCGTAAAATTATGTCATCTTTATTTTGTAGGCCATCTTATAACACACTGTCTTTTATTCCTGAACTGATTGACTCCCCCCCCCCCCAATCTCCTAGTTAGGGCTAAGTGTTTGTGGTGAAATGATCGACATTGCCTCCTACTTCTCTTTAATTTTTGGACCCTCCTAATTCTCTTGATTTTTGTTAATTAGGTTAAGTGTTGGTAAAGATAGAATCGACATTGCCTCTCACTTCTCCTAAATCAATTGACCATCTTGCCTCTCCAGTCCAATGTAGAGGTGGAGGCGGAGGCACGACCTGGACAGCAGAAGAAATGTAAATTTGTTCCCAGAAAACATGATAAATACATTATCCAAGCATTATCAAAGCATTTCTGATGAAATGTAATTTGTTTATATTAAAACATGGTGACACTACTACAAAATGAGTCTAATACGACCTTTTAGATGCAACCTTTTCACAACAGTTGCGTTTGATTATAAAAAAGGTTTCTTCGAACAAAAAGGTTACATTAGAAGATCTAATGCAACTTTGCTTTTAAAAAGTTACAAATTTTATTAAAAATTGTAACTTTTTTTAAAAAGTTGCAAATTTTATTGAAAATTGCAACTTTTTTTAAAAAAGTTGCAAATTTTATTCAGAATTGCAACTTTTTAAAATTTTATTGAAAACTGCAACTTTTTAAAAAAGTTACAAATCTTATTAAAGGAATTGTAGGTTAGGGTGGAATGTTCACAAGGCTTTAAGCACCAAGGACCGAAAGTGAAAAATGAAACCCTAATCACACGTAGCCAAATGAACCGACGGAGGCTCTTCTTTCTTTATTTTGTTACCATTCCAATGATGTTAACCCTCTTGCCATCTATTCTATCGATTGTGAAGCTGCTATACGAGAGGGAGAGATATACTTATTGACAGAAAAACAAGGGAGCAGAGCAAGAGAGAAAGAGAGAGCGTCGGATGAAGAATGCAACGAGAAGGAGGAGGCTGCTAAGCTTGTTTCTTCGATTTTTCTAGATCATGGAAAGGTATGTACAAGCTCTCTCGACTCTATCTTGATTATCGACTCTTCCCGGAGCTATACAGGCCGGAATTGCCTCCGTCAGCCCTTAAACCGCCGAAAGTTCTTGTTGTGCGGGATTTCTGTTTTCGGGATTATTTCTAATGCTTTTAGTGAGTCTCAAGCCTTCATAATTCTGTTTTAAACTTGTACCAAACACTCATGGTACTTGTGGAGTCAGGTAGAAGCTTTGACTAAAAGAAAACACCATGTTTTGGCTTGCTTTGGCCCCAAGCTCTTAAATCGAAGGTTTCCTTTCGTGAATGGTTTTCCCTAACCTTGAGTCTGTTCTTGGTGGTGTTATTCAAAAGTTAATGTGTTATAACTCTAGTTTAGTAACCACACAATTTTGAAAGACACATGAATTGGGTTAGTTATGCTAGGAATAATCGGAAATAGGAATCGGGTTATATTTGTGTGCCGTCGTATATTATTTGTGTGTTTGAATCTAAAAGAAGTTGAGAAAATACAACCAAGGATGAAAAGATAAAAAAGTACACATTTGAGACCCATTCAACCAATTATTCTAAGGGCTTGATGGGTTAAGCCAATCCTTAAAGCCTAAGATGACTTCTTGATTCAAACATAAATTTGGACATAATTGTTGATTTGTCTTGCAAGGGTTGTAGAGGCTACATGTATCAAAAAGATTGAGATGGATGGATTATATGAGCCATTCATATATATCCCAGAAGTAGAAAGTAAGATGCTATAATCAACTTTTTTTTTTAATTATATTATTTCTAAGATGAACTTAAATGGAATGGTTCTTGAAAGTTTGTCTTGAAACTGATGTTACAATGTTAATGGTTTGCTTATATACTCATACACACTAAACTTAAATGGAATGGATTGAATTCTAATTCCTTTCGGCAAGAGATTGTTTCTCTAATGTTCTTATACAAATTTATTTTTTTTTATTAAAATGATGGTTGTAAGGTAAGCTATAAGTTTATCTCCAACCCCCATCTATACGTTTTAAAACTTATAAAACCTTTTTGTTTTACTTAACTTGCAGAGACTCTTGGTATATGCAATGGAAAAAAGTGAAGGAGCTTCTAGGGTATATAGTTTATTTTCAAGGTGAAGATGAACACAAATTTTGGAGTCCCCTGTTAGGTTGCTTCCAGAAAATGATTGTACGGTTGATGAGAATGGTCCTATTTTCTTGGTAATATTCGTTGTATTTTTGGTGATATTCAAGGAAAATGAAGTTGAAAGAAATCAGTTGATTGAAATGCTTAAAGGGATTCAAGAGGGTCACAAAAAAAAACAAGTTGAAATAGAAGTTGTGCGAATAGATATTAACTACCAACGATTTGCTAATATGATTTACCGTGTATTTTTAGTACATGTCTAGGATTTTTTTTAATACTTTTTTGTGATTATAGTTGAAAACTTTGTGTTGACTTTGATTTATGTTTGTTATTTTGAATTTAGAAATTTCAAAGGAGACCGTAGAATTATATAACATATTTATGTTATTGTTATGGTGTAATTTTAGTAGTAATGAATATTTGTTGCAATGTAATAAACATATGTAGTGTCTATATGATTAGAAAAAAATTGTTGCATTAGCGTTAGAAAAGTCACAAAAATAAAGTTGCATTCGACTGTCAACAGGGTTGCATTTTCTGCAATTAAAGACATAACAAAGGTTGCATATATCATATAGAAAGGTTGCAAATCTTTACTAGAAACATAATAAAGGTTTCAATTGATTATGAAAAAAAAGTTGCATTTTCGTAACTAAAACCATTAAAAAAGTTGCCTCCCAGTGTAAAAAAAAAGTTGCATATAAGCATAGAAAAGTTGCTTTTCCATAACAAAGGTTTCATTCAAAAAAAGTTGCATCTAAAAACGTTTTGCAACTATTTTAGAAAGGGTTGCATTTTCCAAGAAAAAAGGGTTGCTTTAGGTCTAATGCAACTTTACCTAATGTAACCTTTGGTAAAAGGTTGCTTTAGGCATTATGCAACTTTTTTATGGCCTAATGCAACCTTTTGGTGGGGTTGCATTAGCTTCATTTTGTTATAGTGTGATGTCATCATCAATACAAAAATAAGCATAAACAGACCTTACATTTATTTACACTAATGATTTATATCTTCGTTAATCTCTCAGTGTAAGGTAGCTTCGTATCGACACCTGTGATACAAATAAATTGAGTGAGTCGGGTTGGGAAACCTGATGAGTACATAGGGTTTTCAGCCCATAATAATATAATTATTATGCTTAATCATCAAATAATTAACCCAATTACCCATCCCTATTATCTTCTTTATTCTTAGGTATTTTCCTTAAAAATCATCTATTCCTCAATATTTATTCCTAAGTATTTTCCTACGGAATAGGCACGAAGTCCATTGGTGTAAGGGTTATCTAACAAACACTAAGTCCATAACTACCAATGGCAAATTTTCCAATGTTATCTGTTAGGCACAACTATTATCCTTTAGCCGCAACTTCCAGGATTATGATGTTCTCTATTTGGCATAGCTACCAATATTATGCTTTAGGCGCAGCTGCTAGGATTTTTAGAGTACATCTGGTGAACACGTAGTTCAATAACACCTATAGGTTGTGGTGCAGCTGCCAATATTCATTTATATCATCCTCTATTTTTCATCATTTATCTACCCATCTTTACCCAATATTCTTATATGTATAAAAATATGTATACAATTTAAATCAAGTAAAACATGTATAAATCGTTCATCTAGTATAGATATCAGGGACACATAAGCACATAGCATGTATTAATATTAAATACTTCATATGTATGTAAGATGAAAGTAACTATGCACTCATTTGTTAAAGTGATGATTCCAAACTCGGGCAGCGCTTCGTTTCTAACAATTTTATTTTCCTTCGACGAAACCTAGTATCATTACCACTAGATTTTAGTCAAATATTTATTGTGACTAATTATTAAATCAATGTCTACGAGATATATTGTTTTATAAGTGCTAAACAATACTTTTCAACTATTATATACAGACAGCTGCCATACATGAAACGCCGGAGGACACGACCATTTTGGCATTTAAGCTATTATGAAATCCAACAACCATATACGGCCCTTCAAATCAGATTCCCCGTACTGCGAACAGTTAAAAGGTATTATAATAACACTTTGTAAAAATTATAGTACTTAGCATATATATTGTTTATAGATTCATAATAACGATAATGAACTTAAACATAAGTTAAACTTAAAGCATGGTAAGCATAACTCACTTACAATGGAGTTTAACTAGGAGCAGGGCTCTGTGGCGGCAGAACTTCTGAGCCGAAAGATCTTCTTCTCGGAACCTTCTGGTGCTCCGAGACTCGCCTCTAGCACTTGGAAAGTACTACGGATTGGGAGGGGCTAAGAAGAGTATTCAAGAGAGAAAGAATGGGAAAGATGTAAATTTTTCAGGTGATCCTCACACCTATTTATAGGCAGAAGGCTTCAGATACGTTGGGCGCAACTTTGAAGTACATTGCATGTACTTGGTATGATGGGCGTACGAGGCCCTACGATGTGCGTACAAGGGGCAGGTGTCAGCATCCGAAGCGAACCCATGGGGAGAAAGGGAGGGTCAGCATCGCGCCACGTATCAGCCTCGTATCCTCTCATAATTTAATGAATTTCTAAAATCATTTACTATCGCATACGAGATCCATTTTCGATGTTCTTTATATCCACACGTAGGTATTGACGGGATCTAGAACTTTCATTTAGATTCCATCAGATTGAATTTATTTTTAAATTTATATTTTAACAGGCTTAGATAGATAAAGTCTGTTAAAAATTCTTAACTTTCTCATCCGACGTCCATTTTCGACTGTCTATATATCGTTGAGCTCCTATTAATGAGATCTTCAATTCATTTAGGTTTTGTCGGCCAATCTAATCTAAATCTTAGAAAAAATCACTGCTAATCTAAATCTTAGAAAAATCATAACTTCCTCATACGAAGTCATATTTGTACATTCTTTTGATATACATTCTCAGCTTAACATATACTATGAATTTTATTTAGATCCAAATGGATAAAAAGTAATTTATTAAAAATTCACTTTTTATGTTACACGGCGTTGTGTCGGTTTAGTCATAAAACTTTGACGGGTCATAACTTCTTTGTTATAACTCAGATTTCAACGTTCTTTATATGTACGGAGCCCTCGTGACATATACTATAGGTTATTTAAAATTATTCATTCTAAATAGTCTTCTTTCAAAAACTCAATTTTAATGCTTATTGTCTCTGAATTGACTATCCCGAATCTACGAGCGTTACAATTATCTCCCCCTTAGGATGATTACGTCCCAGAATCATCAACAAAACATTGTTTGTATAATGAATCCATACGTTATCCTAGGCAATAACTGTAACTCTTATTTCCTTTCAATTGAGTATCTAACTCTTGATTGTTGGTGGTGCTCAATCTTGCACCCGCTCTTCGTACTATATTGGACTTTCAATTGTAACCTTCGAGTTTACAAAGTCAGTCCTTATTTGGAGACGCATGTCCATCGCCTTCTTTAAAGCATCAATGGCATGTTCATCTGAGCACATCTCTTTTGCTAATCAATCAACCTCTCTCATCATGCTCAATGGAAGCACGACCAAAACATGATCATCGATCTTGATTCCTCACGCTACAAAGTTCTCCGACCGATAATTGAATGCCTTAAGTTCTCGCAACTGGCTCAGGCATTAACAATGGCGGAATATGTTCCATTGGTTCATCTCTCCAGGGCTTACTCGTCTTCTATCTACAACAAAGTAGATGATGTCATCCACTTCGAGGTTGCTTCTCACAATACCTCGATCAAAAAGTCCCACTTTAGCAAACTTGTAAGGCTTGCTACTCTTGAAGTTCATGTAGATCCTGAGTCGATTTCCACCTCTGCCTTAATACAGATGTTTTATCAGATGCGTTACACCATGGATATCTCCTTGTTGTCCAAGTTCAGGAAACCCTTCCTTCCTCCAATATAGAATGGATTGTTCACTCTGTTGTTTAAGAGCTTATTAGAGAGGGTTGTTGGGTCAGATAGTGCCAGCAAATTGTTCTACACTCTTATCTTTGGGCTATACCATGGTGTTAATCTCGATTATGGTTCAATTTTATGGGATCAACTCATTCAGAGCATGGTCTCCACTACTCGCCACATGGAGATTTCATGTGCCAGATTTTGGTCAATAGTTGTCAACTGTGTACTAGGCCACTTCAAAGTCCTATTCGTGATAGATTCAATTATGGAAGCAATTCCGACACTCCAAACTTCCACGTTTGTGATATCAGATCCCAGGAATTTCACTTTTATTAGTTCAATTCCGGAAGTAATGTTGGTTAGGGTTCCTTCTGATAATTCTATTGTAAATGCATATCATGGTTTTCCATTTTCAGGTGTTTACCCAATGCCATCTAAATTACGAAAGTTAATAGGTGAGAGAAACAAATCAAATAGGGGAGGAAAAAGAAAGGCTAAAGCAGCCCCTTCGGAAACTGTTAAAGCTCCAAAGAAAACGAAGAAGCAAGCAAAGAAACCGAGATCTCAATCACCGGTTGTTTAGGACGATTCTGAATCAAGAACATTTACAAAAGATCAAGAGGAGGGTATAATCCGAACTAAAGAAAAGAATATTGCAACAACTTCCAAACCAAATCCAAAAGAACCACATCAAAAGGTATCATCTCCACCATCCTCATATGTTCCTACTGTAGATATATCTCAACCTGTTAACCAAGATCCCATTCCGATCCTTACTACTACACCCCCATCCCTACCAGTTACTCCACCAACATTACCTATCACTTCAACAATTTTGATTTCTTCCATCTCACCTCTACCACTAATGCTTTCTATTGGAATTTCTCTTCCACAAATCTCAATCACTCTCTCATCATCAATCTTTACTGATTCCACAACTCCAACCACATCATATGTTTATACTCCACTAGAAGATCTAATTGTCAAGTCCTTTCCGGAGGCGAATAGAGTTTTAGACATTCGTGTCAACGCATCTGATGTGGGGGAAAATGCCAATGTCTGTGTGACTTCTTATCAGGGCGCCGTCACTTCTCGAAGAGCTAATTGGCATAATTTAGAAGTTGAGGGTTAAAAGTGTAAGTTCCGGAATCAGTTTATAATTATTTATGAAGACCGGGGGCTCCGTGATAATTATTTGGATTTAATTTAAAAGGAAATGAGGTTGAAGGTTTGATTATGTCATGATTAAGACTTTGGGGGCTGTATACGCAATTTTGTACCTAAGGTGTAAACGATTTTAATGTTGACGGTTTAAATGGTAATTATCGAATTTACTTGGAAGAAGATTTCCAAAGATAGGGTTGAAAGTGCAAATTTTGGAATTTCTGTGAAATAAATCCTATGGGGGAGGGACCATTTATGTTATTATGGAGATATGTTTTTAAGGGTGCCGGGTATATAATTCACCCATAACCCTAACCCTAACAAGCCCTCCAGCCGTCACCGATTATGTCTCCCATCGTCCACCCCCCCCCCCACTTCACCTGCGGTCGCTGCTATCACCATAGAAGCTCTCCTCAGCCGCCAATGGCATCGTCAGGTTCGGCAACTCTCATCTCCGACTGCTACCTCATCGAAGAACCTCGCCATTCCACCACCTGTCGCCGTATGTCATGTCGTGAATGGCCATAGAAAACCCCGAGATCGGAGGATGAGTTGTAAACGATGAAAAATAGGTCGCGAACAGCCGCACCTGTCCGCTGTTGTCGCCATCTCGCGCCGCTGCCGCTGCCAAATCTTGCTGCTTTGGTGCTGCCATTCAGAAAATCGCTACATCTTGCTGACGCCCTCCATTATCCACCTGCCACCGTGAAATAGTGGTTGGGATTGTGGCCTCGTGAAGCTGGGTTCATGTTAGGGTGTTGTAGGCGTGTGTTGTAATAATTAGGACTACAAGAGAGTTCTTTGACTGGAGATATAAAGAAAACCCTACTACCACCACCGTGAGGTGGTGGCTGTTGTCCCAAAATTCCTGATGTCGCTGCCATGTGGGTGGCTAACGTGTATAGCACAACATGAAGTGTGTGAATGTGTGTTTGGTGTAGCTGGAAGACTGAGAACCACCATTACCACCACCGTGAGGTGGTGGCTGCCGCCATGTGCTACCGTCGGGCACCACAAAGGTGGTTGCGGGTGTGGGTTTATTTATTCTAGTGTGTGTGTTTATTTTTGAGTTCATTGTAAATTGTAAAAATTTGAGTAATAAAAGGATTTGAAAACCACCACCTTATGGTGGTGGCTGCCGCCACTGGCCGCCTTGTCGGGTGTCGGTGTGCCTTGTTGGATAGTGACTTGTTTGGGGTTTTTGGACAAGGGACTAAACCCCTAATGAACCTAGTGGAATCATAATGGGCCTAATGAACCCTAATTGGTCAAAGGACCTAGTTATTGGGCCTATTGGGCTAATGTGGGTAGGAAACCCTAATTAGGGTTTGGAAAACCCTAATGCCATGAAACCCTAATTTGGGACTTATCGGGACCGCATCACAATTATTTAATGAACTTAAAGTAGTAATTAATGACCATTTGCAATGAACCTACCGCCATGTGGGACTTAATGGATTAATTCTTTAACAGGTTAAGTAGGGACACTTAACCCTAATCATAATTTTATGTGAAACCCTAATTTCACTTGTGCCTTGAGTTGGGCCTTTCCATTGGGCTTTGGTTTTTGGACCAATAATAGGCCATTCAAGATCAATCATATGGACTAGAATAATTTGATGGACTTAAGGGTAGGGCCCATATGAGGGGTTGAGCCCAATTTAGAAAAATAGGCTATATATAGGCCATAGTTTTGGCCTTAATGATTATATGATATTGGGCCAGTAGAATGTCAAAGGTTAGACTGGAATAAATGGTTTGGCCTTAGATTGAGACAAATGTAAAGGTTCGGGCCCAATTTCGAAAATTAGGCCATGTATTGGACTTTGAACCATAGTTGACTTTTGGATAGTGACTAGTTTGGGGTTTTTGGACAAGGGACTAAAATCATAATAGACCTAGTGGAATCATAATGGGCCTAATGAACCCTAATTGGTCAAAGGACCTAGTTATTGTGCCTATTGGGCTAATATGGGTAGGAAACCCTAATTAGGGGTAAAGCAGTCTTTTACCCCAACATGGACTTATGGATATGTGTTGGAACCTAATTAATAATTGGGTGTTGTTTTTATATGTTGACAGTTCGGGAACACATCATCCAACAGCTGGGGTTAGGACTTCGGGACTACAGTAGTGGAAGGTGAGTCACCTTCTAGTAGCGGTGGGTCTACGACGATAATGCCGACCAACTAGTAGGAGTTGTATGTTAGATGATTGTCTTTGTGATATTCATCTAGGTTTGCTACTACCTGGTATGTTTATGTGTTAGCATGATATGTTATATGTGATAGTGGTAGTAGGAGGGGAATAGTCCCCAGGTTCGGTTGTTAGGACTGAAGGGTAGGTTGAGCACCCCAGATATGCCTCACAATATGTTTATGCTATGATATTATGTGATAGTAGTAGGAGGTGAAATAGTCCTCGTATCTCGCTCGTAAAGACCGAAGGGTAGGTCGGGCACCGTAGATATGCTTGACAATATGATTATGTTATGATATGTGTGGTAGTAGTAGTAGGGGTGAGATAGTACCCGGAGTTCAGTTGTTAGGACCGAAGGGTAGGTCAGCACCACAAAATGGCTTGACACGAGTATGTCAGCACCCCAGAATGGATTGACACGGGTAGGTCAGGCACCCCAGAATTTCCTAGCAGTATGTATTCTATGTGATTTTATGGTATGTGGTATGATGGGGGAACTCACTAAGCTTCATGTTTATGGTTTACATTTTTGGTTTCAGGTACTCGTTTCAAAGGAAAGGAGTCGGCTTGATCGTAGCGCATCACACTATGTTTTCCGTACTTGAGATCTTTGGGATTACACTCTTATATGGTTTTATGATAGTATGTTTTCATTATTGACACTTTGGTTTTGACATGAGATATTAATATGAATGTTTTTATACTAATGGTTTTATGTAATAACTTAATTAAAACGAAAATTTTGGTCTTGAATTTTGGGATGTTACAAGTTGGCATTAGAGCCTAGGTTTGAGGGATTCGGGCACACTTCCGGGTGTGTCTGAACTCAAACTAAGGACTTGGTATGAGTTTTTTCAAAAGTAAAAACCCTTTTATAAAAAGAAGTTTGAAAAGAATTTAAAAAGAGAACAGAACTTTGAAAAGAACAAAGTGTGTGATGCGTGCAATCAGTCTTGCTAAAGTAAGTTTTCCCCAAGATACCCATACATGTTATCTTATGATATGATATGATATGGTTACAAGAACTACATGCTAGATTAGGGCTAATGATCTAGGAGGATTCCTTATATGCCTATTGTATGTACTTGTAGACTTGCATGCTAGTAGTGATCAGTTAGGGATAGGATATCATGTTTATGGTATGCCTGATTGTATGAGCCTTTGAATTGCATGTACAGATTCCTGATTAGAGGATAGAACGGTTTGATTGGATTATGATGGTTAGGTTTTCCATTGTTTGAATGTTGTTTTCTTTGTGCTTTGTGGGACTCCTTGTGATGTGAGTTAGCTACTAAGTAAATATGCTAAGTCACATGGGACACAGCCCAGATAATCTCAGAGTGATGGACTTGACCCTATTGCGTAGATCTTGTATGAGTCCAACCATTCTAGGGATGGGTCTCTTACTCGAAGGATTATCTGATCTCTGTTGCATGTGGCTATATTCATAAGGTAACTAGTTGACATTATTGGGAATCTTTCAGCAGCTCAGGACTGGGTGAGTTCGGGAACCTAGGAAATCCTAGGATACGTTTTAGTGGGCTAATAGTGAGGTTCATTAAGACTTGGGTGTACCAGTTTGAGGAAGTGACTTGGAGGATTCGGGAGGATTGTTGAGGAAAGTATGGATAGGTGTGGAAGATAGTATTAGGCCTGTACTACTGAGAGCACAGGATCCATACTCGAATCGGTGAGAGTCTTGGAGAATCTGAAAAGCTTCGGGGAGAAGTTTATGACCCGGATTAGGGACAGAGAATGTTCCAGTTGTTGCAGCTTAGCCATTGGCAAGTGAGTTAGTGAGCATAACAGGGTGTTAGACCCTAAAGGATATGATTTCCAAGAAGTTGCAGATACGAGATCGATTTGGAGCACCCTGGAAAGAGATGGTTGTGCCAGGTGCCGATAGTAGAGGGTCCCGAGAAAAGACCCATGACTTCTAATCATCTGGTGAAAGGATAGCAGGGCCGGAGTCAGTGTAGCACGTACAAGACGATGTACAAGGGAGTTTGTCGCTCCAAGGGTTTAGGCCACTAGAGGGCTGCGGGATTGGTCATGTCAGCAGAAGGTGACCAGTATTCCTCCAGATGTTGTGGGTATGTCATCTTCTATTGCTACCAGATGGATGTTGGGGAGACGTATCACTTTGGGATCGTGAGTGGGGTTGGATAACTCAGATCTTGGGGCGGTTTTCTGCTAGTGGTTGGGTTATCAACGATCATATATGACATCCTACATGTCGAAAAGTCCTTGATGAACCTACAGAGGGATGCATCTTGCGAAGTGGGTTCCGAACGTACCGTTATCATTCCGTATTTTTGTCGGGATCTATGCAGGAGTATTATTTAGAGGATACTCGGTCAAGGTTGGAGTGATAGTTATCTAGTGAAGTCAGCATTCAGGGGTTCTATCATTGTTCAAGTATGGTCGGTAATTATCTATGGATGAAATTTGAAGTTCAAGGCACTACCATTGCTAGGACAGAGCTGGTGGAATTAAAATGGAAGTGTCAGTCGCGGGTGTTGGATGCATAAGTGGTTAGCTATCGCATGTTCAAGAGAATTGTATTTTTGCATGGGCTGTGTTCGGTTAGAGTTCATTGGTACTGCAAGATTGGAAGTGGGAATGAGGATTCATCAGCCAGAGTGAAGATTGAGACCTTCAATTGACAGCATGGGAGATGGATTGAGGTGTCAGATTGGACCGGATTTCAAGTGTACTCTTCAAGTTTTCAGAGGATTGGTAACCTTAAGATTTGATTGGTGATGGACC